TATTATTATTATTATTATTATTATTATTATTATTATTATTATTATTATTATTATTATTATTATTATTATTACTATTACTATTATTATTATTATTTATTTAAGTATTTAATTATTTATTTCATGGGTTTTGTTTGATTAGTGTTGGTAATTTATCTTTTTTTTGATATTGCTTTGATTATATTATTTTATACCTTTTTGTTATTGGTTATAGTTGGTATTTCAAATAAAAAAATTTTTATTAGATGTTTATTATAGACTAAAAAGGTACAAATTGTATTATTTTTTGTTATTATTCTATTATTTATGAAAGGTGTGGATGTTTTATTGTCGCATAGTTCAAGACGAGCCCATGTACTTGGTACGGGGTATGTTGATTGATAGTGAGCTTTACTATAGAACAAACCTTGAAGATCATTGCGTCGATTCGAAAGGTGAAGCGAACATGTTACGTGATAATGTGATCGATTAAAATTAGGGTTGGATCGGGTAACGTAGATGTCATGTTCATCGGTCGTAAGATCAATGACGTTTAAATTAATAGAATTTAATAGTTAATTATAGTGTAATTTAGAAGTATTATAGTTTGATTATTAAAGTGTTACACAAGTGATGTAATAAAAATTCAATATAAATAGAGATAATAAAAGGATCGAAAGGTCAGCTTTGGAACGAGGGAAAATAAGTAATAAAGCGTAAGAACTAGTGTTCCTACCTTGGGAACCATAGGAATACTTGTGAGTAAATAGGATGTCAAGTGAGATCCAATATCTTCTAGACAGTTTGAGTAGATTACAGTAACGTTGATTACTGTATAACCCCGTGACAGATAAGGACCTGGGCAACACGAAGTACCATCACAACGACAAGCCAAGTTTAACAGGATACGATCAGCAATAACGTGAACAAAGTTAAATTAATGTGTTAAAACAAAACAAATTAAATTAGAATAAATAAAAAAAAAAAAAAAAAAAAAAAAGGAGAGAAATAAAATACACACTGTAATAATAATCAAGGAACCACCTCAGCGAAGCCTGCAATAAAAATACGTATAAAGTGTTCGACACAACTAAGGGCAGATAGGTACGATTGAAGAGAGTGCATACGAGTGACAAGAAAGGTCAAATAGATATCATGTCACGAGGAACGGACCCAACTAACAAGTGTTAGCAATAACTGAATAAAGTTATAAGCAACAAAGTCACGATCACGAACATATTGTACAACAATCACAAAGAAATACAATCTTTTGTAGAAGTGATCAGCAATGTCAAACCAAGATTTCACCAAACCGTTCTATCATTGTCGCGATGACGAGAATATAGAGGATTTTCTCTTTGATTTTGAAATGTATGCAGAGTTAAAGGACTGGATTGATAATAGAAAGAAAAAGGTGGTGGATCTTCATGTTTCAGAAAAGACAAGGGTGTGGGTATGTGAGTTAATAAAGACTTCAAATAACTGGACTGATTTGAGAGTTACTATAGTGAAAGTTGCAAAAATAAAATATCATATCAATAAAAAGGTTGCAAGGTTAATGAGAATCAAACAAGATGAAAGTGATTCAGTAATTGGATACTCCAATAGGTTTGAGTCTTTTGCTCACACAATTAAGGATAAAGTATAAGATAGAAAAAAAAGAAAATGGTTCATAGTTGGGCTGAAACATGAATATGGGTTGAAGGTTGAGAACCATTTTTCAACCAATTACAGCAAAGTAAGAAATTTAGCTGTAAAAATTGAAAGGTATTACAAGAACAATGAATTTGATATACAAAAAGCAAGTAAAACTCTAATGGAAAGAATAAATGAAAATATTAAATATGATATTGATTAGTTAACAAGTGCAATGGAGGGATCAATTCTGTAACTCTCTTTGTAGATCACTTGTACCAAAATTTTGCTAAAAACATTTAATTATTTCTAAAAATTTTCTTAAGTAAACCTTGTCTACACTTTTAAGTAAAGTTGTTGAGCTGACTTTTCTCCTTCTAGGTGGCCAAGTTTTGGGTTCTCACAACACCTGGTTCTTGAGAAAAGTTCTAAAAACTAAAAATTTGAGTTTTGCTTATTTATTATATATTTTACTAATTAAATATATCTTGTTACTTATTAGAAAAAGAACAAGTTCTCTGTTCTGGTTATTTTGATATATAATTTATTATAAACAAATCAAAACTTACCAAGATAAAACAAAAAAAATGAAAACTAAAACCTGTTTTTACAGGTTTTTCATTGACATTTTAGGAAAAACTACTGGGTTGTTCTAGATTTTTTATTTTTCTGGTACTCATTAAAATTTCCTAAACATCCAATTAGCTTTTACAAATATATTACACTTTACAGATCACTTTTAAATAGTCTGGAAGTTTAGATAATTAAGAAATTTTCTTTATAAACAACATTACACAAATAATTTGTATTATTTAAATTTTATAAATATTATCCTTAAAGATAATTACACATAATGTCAAGAATTAATACTATAAAACCTGATTTCTTCAATCTCAATAATTTTATTGTCAAACATAGTAACAATTCTGATATTGTCACTCATGATAGCAACATTTGTATCTTTAAAATCCTACTTATTAATTTTAATCCTAAAACATGTGACCTTCAAAATAACTTTCATTTCTTCATAAAACCTACTGGACTTGTTATTACTATCTATTATTGTAAAAAATATCATATCTACTTTACTTCACAACATATTACTATTCTTACAAATTCCAAACCAATTCCTGAAAACACTTTCAATACATCTAATTCTATGAAAATTAACTTCGATATGAAACTCTTTAAATCTTTAAAAAGTCTTTCAAGATCCAAATTCCAACCAAAACATGAAATTACTTACTCATTTCCTACCTTCTATAATGATATTAGAAAAACTTCTACAAATTCTGTTTCTTTTAAACCATTTTCTTATCATACACATATATGCATTATATGTAAAATTATGAATATATTATGCATTATTCTTAAAGATAACAAACACTCACTTTTATCTACAAGCTTTGACTTTTGTAACTGGTAAAGAAAGTTTTCCTGCTCATACACAATGTATTCATCTTCTCAAACTTAAATACTTAACTTTCTCAACACTCATAAACTGAGAACAATGTAATCTATATTGTAAAATCAAATGCTGTCAATTATCAGTTAAAGATAAACATATATTTTTAAGAAATTTCTCCAAAAATTGTTTAAAAAAATCAGAATTACAAATGAATCTAAGAATAATGATCAAACTAAAAACAACAAAACACAAAAAAACTAAAATTATAATGATCTAAAACAAAAAGACAAACAAAAAGAAAAAGGAAAAGAATTTACATAAAAACATGATACAACAAATGACTTTGACTGGTTCTTGAATTATCCTATTACATCTGAAATGTAACAACATAGTAAATTAAGTATACCATTAGTCTTAAAAGTTTTCTTACTTCTAAAATCATATCTTGTAAATTTTAATCTTGAACAAGAAATCCTTACTGATTCAACTGATTCAAAACTTAACAATAAACCTTTTACTAAATACTCATTTAACTACATACTTAACAAAATGACTAATAACAAATCTAAGTTTTTAACTGACTTTATCTTCGAAGCCAATCCTGAATTTGACTTATTTTTTTTAAAGTCTTAGTTGAAACTCTTAAAGGCCTAGTTACAAAATTTACAACAGTACTTTTTACTCAACTGAATTATATATACATTTTTTGATCACATTATTCCATCCTACTATACTCAATAAATAATAGAAAAAAAGTTGACATTAATATAGCATATTTATACTTATATCTAAATTATAGTTACAAAACTATCAACTTTGAAAAATTTATAAAAAAACTTGACATCAAACTTTTATACTTTAGTTTAAATTTTGACATAGATTATATTGCAAATAAGCTACTATTTGATATTTAAAATAATAATAGATTCAACATTAAAGTCACATTAAACATTTCTGCTAAAAAATTTGAAGATGACTTCAAAATTCCTTTACTCAAACCTCATATCCAAACCTATGAAACCTGATTTCAAAAATTTTTTGATAAATATAAAATTCAATTTGAAAAAATTGATCAACAAAAAACAAGCAATTACATCAAAATGTTAATATCTCAAAAGCTTGTTAAAGACTGCAAAGAACTTTTACCAGAAACTTATTCTTTTTCAAATATCTTATTTTCATTTCAAGAATGCTCTAAAGCTATTTTCAAAGTAGTACTTTATCACTTTCATAAATGTCATAGCAAATCATGCAACTTATTTCCAGATAATACAGAATACAAGCTCGAAAATATTTCTTAATTTTACTTCTCTCAATCATTCAAATCTCATCCAGTACTAGAATCTAATTCAAAAGAATGGAAACATCCTCCTTTAGAAACTAAATTATTCCAACCTAATCAACAACTAGCAGCAACCTTTGCAAAGCCAATACCCATAACTGAATTAAGAAAATTATCTATATCTACTAAGAAAAGCTTTACATCACTTAACAATATTAATAGTAAAGTAGCCCAAACAACTTACTATTTCTATCAATACTTAAAAAAATATCTACAAACAGCAACTGAAAATGATGGAATTCAAGAGTTATCTAAAGAGAAAGTTCTTGAAAAAATCATAGACTCCATTACTGATATGCATACTCTAGCTCATCTAATTACCTATTATGAAATCTGATCCCAATTTAAAGTCTCTCTTAAACAAACTAGAATTGATTATGACAAAACTTACTATTATGAAGCAGAAAATTTTATAATCAAACATCTCAACATCTCAATTTCTACTCAATATAATAACATGCTTTTTATGCAAGACCAAAACAAACCTGAAGCTAAAAAAGAAAATCCAACTCCACCTACTACTTAGGATAATAATCCTGCTAACTTCACTTCTTAAAAAAAAACAGTCAACAACCTTACACAAAACCAAAAAACTCCTTTTCAATAAGTTCTTCTACAGAAAACATTAAAGCAACTGCTGCTTCTAAGATTATGATTTCTTCTACTATTAGTGGGCTATTCTTAGAAGAAAATGATGATAGTAGGTGGGCAATAAAGCCTATTGTAGTGAAGGACCAGGAATATGTTGATCAGATCCAATATACTGAGCAAGTTATAGTATCCTTCACAGCTATGCAAGCTGAGCTTAAAACAATGAGCAATTCTGTAAAAGACATTACAAATACTATCTTTTTTTCCAATACTTTATCTCCTATTAAGATAGACAAATGCTATACTAAATTCTTAAAACAACATAACTTACTTTAAATTACTGAATCTGTCATACTCAAAAGTTTCATCCAATATCTACATCTAACTAATTTTTCCAATCCAATAAAATTATCTATAAATTTCAAAAAAACAAAATTATATATTTATTTAAAAACTACAAACCAAATACTACCAAATTATACAGAAATAAATCCTTTTCTTTATAATACTTATGATTATTTATCATTACTACCATCTTTCAATTGGAAAATTCCTAACATAAACTCTATTGATCTCTTCACATCTGACCAACCAATATATCCAAACATTTCTATAACACCTCCTCCTATCTCATCAATAATCATATCCAAACATACCTCTATACCAATCAAAATCAGATTAATAAATATAAATGGTCTCTCTCAATCTAACAAGAAACTTTCCTTAATAGAACTTTTACAAGAAAACAACTTTGAAATTTTTGGACTCTCTAAAACACATTTATCTTTTAAAGAAGGAAAAATCTTTAGTAACCAAATTCATAATTATACCAGTTTTTGGAGCTTATATACAAATCCTTACCAAGCTGATATTAGCATCTTTGTATACAAAAAAATATCTAAATATATTGCCAAATCTCATAATTACAATAGTCATATAATTGGACTTAGTTTTTATTTCAAAAATACATCTATTAGACTTTTTCAAGTATACTTTCCAATTTATGAAAAAAAACAACTTTGTAAAAAAATCCAAGACCACTTAATTTCTCTCACCAAAAATAATAAATTTAAACTAATTATTATAGAAGACTTAAACAGTGTTCTAAATTCAAGAATTGACAGATTTCCTCCAAAAAAATCATCAATTCCAGAAAGCCAAATAATTCAATATCTAATTAGTTTTCAATTTAAGGACATCTATTGTATTTTCTATTCTAATATATCAAACTTTACTTTTAATTGAAACAATATACAAAGTTGAAATGATCAAATATGAACTAACTTATCTATTACTAACATTAACTATACAGAAATTCTCTTAATCAGTACAATTGAATCTGATTACCAAATCATAACTTTTGAAATCTCTATTATAATCAATAAACCCAAACCTCATAAACAACACAAGCATAAAGCCTTTCTTTGGAAAATCTGTACCAAAGAAAACCTTGAAAATTATAATAAACAAACTACCAAAAATCTTTAACATTTATCTTTAATAATCATTACAATTTCAAACCAAAACCAACTTAATACTACATGAAATAAAATTCATAAAGCACTAATCAAAGCCTCTACTAAACATATTCCTTTTAAAAAAATTAAAACAATTAAAGAAATTTATAACACTTCATCACCAAAACATTCACTACTTTATTTTCATTATAAAG